GGACCGGGCAGGGTTCATGGAACCACCACTGAATGCTCCGGCTGCCAAGATGTTAGCTCCAACGATGAACCCAATGGCAATGGGTGCGATGGTTCCAAGTGAGCCTTTTTTGGGGTCCGCTGCAGTTGCATAAACAGTGTAGACTAGCCCAAATGTTATAATGATCTCAAAGACTACTCCTTGTAGACCATTCATCCCATCAGCAACCCCATGGGTTGGAACAGCCTACCAAATATCAAAACAACATACACATATTCATGAGTTCATACAAACACACATATACATCATACATACATACATACATATATATTATTTAAAAGGTTTCACTATAAAATAGAGTTTTACCAAGCCACCGGTGACAAACTGGAGAAGGAAACAAGCAGCAGTGGCACCGAGCAATTGAGCAATCCAGTAAAATAAACCAGTGAGGATGGTGATGTTGCCACCAATAGCCAATCCAAAGGTGACAGCTGGATTCAAATGACCACCGGAAATATTGGCCGCCATTGAGACTCCGACAAACAATGCAAAAGCATGAGCCACTGCAACAGCTACTAGTCCGGCAGGGTCTAATGGTGCGTCTGTTGTGAGCTTGCCTATAAAGTTCCAATACAAGTTCATGTTACAACAACAATTGAGTCTTATTTCTTAAATTGTGTTATTAATTGTTCTCTAGATAAATGATATTTAAACATACGATGGGAAATGAATTGATGCCACACTTGAAAGAAATAACACCTATTATTTTATAGATATAAATATTACTTGGCCAAATGAAAAACTCACCATATGCGATAGCCGAGCCAACACCAGCGAAGACGAAAAGAAGTGTAGCAATGAACTCAGCCAAATATGACTTAATTGAGCCAACACTGAATGAATCACCAAAATCACCAAATGCCAACTTCACCATTTTTAAGGTTTCTAAGACCGAAACTATGAACTCAAAAAGATAAATAACTAGTTGTAAGATGATTGACTTGCTGAAACTTGTGAGTTCCTAGTTGTTCAACATAGGGTTATATAGTCCATAATTTGAAGTTTTTTTGTATTTTAAAAAATATTCATTCTTTAAAGTTATTTTGTGAAATCAGTTTAAATAATGACCACTTGCATTTCATGTATAGAGAATGTTTGGAGGCACCGACCATGGGCCCAAAGAGCCTAACCATGACCACTCATTGGTGATTACCCACCGGCCTCAAAAATTGAAATATTTCTTGATTATGAAGTGGAGACAAAATAATTATTTAGAAAAATTAAATGAATAATCAATAATATCTGCTATCTACAAAAGTTTATGAAGTTAAGCTTAATTATGTGTTGTGGAATAGTTAATTAAGTGAGCTCCAAATGATTGAGGGGATGAGTCATCTTCTTTAAAAATTCCGAATATAAGAGCATAATAGTTACTCCCTAATGTAAAGTGCATTCTCATCAATCGGGTTTATCGTCAACATATGACTACAAATCATAATTAACTAACATTATGTTAGGCTTGAACATAAGACTATAATTATGAATTTTCATTTTTTTTTTACTAGTGAAATAAGTACGATATAAAATGAAGGTCTTAGATCAATTTATAAAGATTTTTTTTGTTGTTCTATATAATCATATATAATGTGGGCGGAACACATACACAATAGCTGGGGGGGCAGAATTGAATTTTCAAAACATAACAATATAGAAAATTTTATTCAAAATTTTGCACTCTAAAAATATAACTTATCGATATATTGTTGATCAAAATGGACCTCGTCGATTTTGAGTCTTGCAAATTTATTTTTAAACTAATCATTTCGGCATGTTGTCTTTCAAATAACAAAACCGAAAAATCATTCAAACACTCTACCAATCTTCTTTATATTTTTTTTTCAAATACCGGCCTCCCCAGACCCTCTTATATTTTATTCTTTTTCAAATATCGGCCTCCCCGTTAGAGGTAATTTCGTCCCGAATTTCTTTTCAATGATAGAACTATGAACTAGAGAATAAGTGAGGATACTTCTGCTTCATCAGGTCCTCGCGTTCCCATGTGAATTCCGATCCACGATTAGCGTTCCATCGAACCTTCGCAATTAGAATCCGACTTTGTTTTGTACGCTTCACTTCTCTTTCCATTATCTCTTCCGGCTCTTCGACGAACCGGAGATTCTCGTTTATCTCGATCTCATCCAAGGAAATGATGAGGGTTTTATCCGATAGGCACCCTTTTTCAATTTTGATACATGGAACGTTGGGTGTACGTTGCTAAGTTCTGAGGGTAGTAGTAGTATGTAGGCCAATGAATCGATCCAGAAAAGAACCTCGAACGGCCCGATGTATCGTGGGTTTGGCTTGCCCTGCTTTCCAACTTGGATCTTCCTTTTCTAGGGAAAGTCATTCAATAGCACCTGCTCCCCTACTTGAAACTCCAGAGGCTTTTACCATTTATCAACATCCCCTTTTTTTTTTGTTGGTCTCACGATGCTTGAGGTCGTGCCTTGATTTGAACTATTTTCTCCGTCGTTTTCCCTAATGATCTCGGGTCTGTAAGAGTGTTGTCCGATGCTTGTCCTCTTGCTAGTTGGGTGTTGGTCATCTCAGCCCAACACAGAGGTATTATGCCTTCACATCCTCTATGGTGAGGTGGATTGATGGTCATGGTTAATGAGGTCGTGTATTGGACGTCCCAAAGTAGTACCTCCAAACCCTGAAGTGAACACTATTATTGCTAGGGTTAAGGTCGCATGATGTAGGTGGCCTCATACTTTTTAGGCTGCCATTGGAGTTTCTTACTGCGGGATTCTGAACTTGTAGGAGGTTGATCTTTGCGTGTTTCTGGGGGCGGGTCGAGCAAGTCTTCGTTTTGGGATGGGGCATATCGATTCCTTAAGGATGGGCTCGTTTGAATTCTTAGTAGTCAATGGTATTATGGATACCTAGCCTTTCCTCTTTATGAGTTGGATAGACGTTTCGAGGTTCAAGTCTTGGTTTAGTAACTTTCATACTTACTGGGTCATTCCATTGTCTGGATGGCTTTGGTGTGTTTGATGACACTTAGTATCCTTGGTGGTCTTGCTATGGAAATGGCTTCATTAGTTGAGTTAATTTTCGAACTTGCTGTGCCACTCATAGATAACATTTCTGAAAAGGCTTCTAGAATCCACTAAAGATTATAAATCACTATGTTACCCTCGATATCCTTTGTTTCTTGTTTCTTATCTCTATTGTGGGCTAGGAACGAGCGTGGTATTTCTTACCTAGGCACTTAGGAGTTTAGATGTCAGAAATGATTTGGGGATCTGTACCTATAAGTTGTAAGGACTTCGTTAATTGATTGGTCAAGGCGTAGGGTCTCCACATGAAGTTTGTAGGATGAAAATCAAGCCAGCCTCTGTCAAGTGATGTTGTTGGGTTCCTTAGAGTTTGTTGTAATAGATGTTGGATTGACTTGGAAGGGATGGTTTTTCGGAAATGAGAGAGTGTTTCATGTACTCGTTTTTAATGTTCCTGGTTTCATCCTTGTTATCACTACCACGTATGTTCTTGTACCATGTTTAGTGAGTATTAGTAGTATGAGTGTTTCGATTATTAGCGATGAAGTTGGATAGCATGGTCCTTATTAGGTCTTTTTGTAATCACTTGATGGGTAAGGAGCATGTATAGTTAAGAATGGAAGGCTATCGACTGAGAGGCTCTGTCCTAAATCCATAACCTCACAAGAAACAGAAAATTGAAAGGAATCACATACTATAAACCTTTAGAACCTCAATTATATATGACTCTAATATGTACACTAATCCCTCGTGGCTCTCTTGCAAAATCTTTGGCGTTTATACGAATGACATGTCTTGTTCGGACAATAGAGTAATCTATAACTAATGACTAATGTCTTTGAATATCTTTATTGAGAATACGTACTATTGTTTATAGGTGATTCAGGGAGGGTCTCTCCTGTAGGGATTGTTAGCATTCTACCTTCCTTGCCAGAGTTCCTTGTTATAGGACAGTTCTTCCTGAAGTGTCCAGATTCATCACACTCGTACTAGGTCAGGTTCATTCTGATGTTGGGAGTCTGGTGAATTGGTCGTGCTGATGCCCTGCAGAAACGGGTAGGGTGCCCCTTCCTATTGCAATTCTTATAGTGTAACTTTCGGCAGGCTCCCTTATGATGGAAACTCCACTTGCTGCATTTTGGGAGGTTTCCAGCGTATGGTCTTACTGATGTTGGTGTGGTAGGTGTCGTGGCAGCATGAACCGCAACAGTCTGTTGTCTCTTTGAGGGCTTTCGTTTTATCCTTTCTCTCTTTTCAGGACTTTCTTTTCTTGCTTTTAAGTTTGAAGTTGGGGGTGTTTCTTTCAGCAACCCGTCGTTGGTGCCCTTGGTTGTTATTGCGCTTGGAGTTGCTGACACCTTTTTCGTTTTTATTTCTCCTTGTGTTGTTGAGTTGTGCCATGACAGCTGTCACTGCGGATTGGAAGGTAGCGGAGTCTATTCATATGATCGGTGTCTCACTGATGTGCTGGTTATTTCTATGGGATGACATTTTTCTGTTGCATGATGATAAGCAAGCTCTTAAGTAATGATGGCCACTTTGCGTTTTGTTGTAGGATTCTCATTGTTTCCACCTACATCCTTGAGATGTAGTTATGGTGACAAGTAGTAGTAGATTTTTGCACGAATGCTAAGTCTACCCATATCATATATAGATTATTTTGGGTTTGAGACCCTTGAGTATCTAGTGGTTTCGATGGTTCGATTGTGCATACAAGTGAATTCAGGAAATAAGGAAAATAGAACACATAATAGATTGCAATGTCACGATAAACACATAATTGTTTTACTAGTAAATACTATCTTAGTATGTGAGAACTTGCCTTAAAAGGCATACATTTCATAAGGAAAATATCGTCTGACAGCATAACGACTTTATGAGTAGTGTAAGCAGTTAACCATAGAGTTGATTTCTACAGGTAATAGTAACTGAAAAGAGAGTCCCATTCAATAGTGACACTCAAACGTCAAACTGACGCACCAGAAGTTCGGCCAATTCATTCGCCTCCTGAGTGATCATATTTTCCCTCTGTCTTGCTTGAACAACCATAGCTTCGGCCGCAAAAAGTTGTTGCTTGAGGTTGGCTACTTCTTGCTCGAGAGAGAGTATCTGGTCAGTAGTGCTCTCCTGCACTACGTGCTGAGCTGGTGGTGTCTCCGTAGGGTGGGGTTCACTAGAGGTTTCCTTAATGTGCTCACCTTCATCTGACTCCTCGTCAGATTCGTCATCCTCATAGTCCATCACTAGGGCTGTCAAATCGAGCAGTCGTGTCGTGTTTTTGTCTGACACGACATGACACGACAATTTTTTGTACAACACGACATGATGTCATGTTTTTTTTCATTAACACGAAAATGAACCAATTAAAACACAACAACACGACACGACACGACAAAGATAATATTACATAACTATTAGTGTATTCCATCCACACTTAAAGATATATAACACGATAAAAATGACAAACACGAAAAACCCGACAACCACATGCTTAATCTTGTCAATTTCGTGTTTATGAACACGAACACGACACAACACGACATCATGTTTTTTAATCTTGACACGAACACGACACGAACACGAATTCGAATTTTGATTTCGTCCTGATTTCGTTTCGTTTCGTGTATTTTTGTTGTGTCGTGTCATAAATTGACACCCCTATCCGTCACCACATACTCTTCAGGTCTTGCTTCTGGATTTCCTTCTTGAACCATTTCTGGTTCTTCCTCCATCCACTCATGGGCCACTAAGACCTGTTAGTAAAGCTCACCTGGTGGGAATTCAGCCATGTGGTATGCGTGAGGTGTGAAAAGTGCGTGAGGGAAGTGTACATAGATGGCATTCCAAAATACTCATATAGTATTTTAATTGTTTATGTTTGAGATCCTTAAAGATTTTGGATGCAAGGTAAGTTTATAAATTCATTGCCCGCCATGATCACTCCCAAACATATGTTGGTCGTATTTTGAATAAATATAGTTGATCAAGCTCTATTTATCCCCAATACGACCACATAACTATCTGGGTTTAACCACGGTGTTCAATTTCCTCCAGAGACTTTTAGTGTTATTGTATTAATGCACACCTAGGTATAGTTGCATATTTTGTATGATTAGATATGCAAGTTCACTATAAACAATGCTCTGATACCAATTTATCACACCCTCGAACCAGACGGTGGAAACGTCCAGGGGCTTGGGTAACTTCATTTTGGTAGTATCATCACAGAGTATATAATTGAAACTTAACATCATCATCATCACACATGTAATATTACAACTGTCATTTGTTTACATCGAGTATTTTATTACAATATTACATGCCAAAATATCTAGAATATGATGAAAACAAAACCTAACAAAATGTCCAAGTATTCTTGTCGACCGACCTGCTCAACGGTTTCTTGAGAATATAAGTTAATTTAAAAGGTCAACATATATAATGTTGGTGAGTTCATAAGCATGTTTAAGAAAAACGTTTTATACTACTTTGTCAACACCAGAAAATCCGATATTTTCTGAAAACTGTTTTGAAATGTTTGTGTTTGATCTTGTATTAATGCATGCGTGTTAAGTGTTGCGAGAATATAAAGAGAATGAACTCCAGACAACCCGATGTTGTTTGCGTAAGAGAATGTTGGAATCTCAACACCCGAGGTTGAGTACCAACGCGTATAGGTTACCGTGTTGTACACAAAAGATGGTTCTCGAATATAAAGAGAATAAACTCCAGACAATCCGATGTTTTTTGCGTAAGAGAATGTTAGAATCTCAACACCCGAGGTTGAGTACCAATGTGTATAGGTTACCGTGTTATCCACAAAAGATGGTTTCCCGTAAAATTTATAACATATATTCCTCTAAGTCAGCCGTTATAACCATACTTGATAATGACAATTTCGTCTATCATGACGTCTATTAGACGTCGACTTGTTTTAGGTACGGTTTGTCACCCTAGACTGACCTAGTCTAATTGTAGCGAATAGCTCAGGTGTGGAGCGTTACCCCCGTAGAAATCTATACACAAACTCACGCTCTTACTCCGGGAGACTCTGGTTATAACTACAGACTACGTTTGTATACTCATTTGGTGCCAAACGAAACGTCTCACTAGATCCTTAATCGAATTTATGCGAATAAACATATAAGGTATATTCTAGACCCAATAAACATGTAAGTGGACAACTAAGGCCCACTGAACATGTATATTATTTCCAGGCACAAAAGGAATATGAAGGTATATCCCAGACCCAATATACATGTAAAAGGACTACTAAGGCCCATTAAACATATATATTATTTCCAGGCTCAATAATGATGTGAATGCTGAAATTGATCAGTGGTTTGTTATGTTGGTTGTTTAAGCTATGTTGTTTACCAAAATGGCATGAAAAGCCCACCTTTTTGTAAAAGGTCATTTTTGGTCCTAAAAACCAAAAATTTACAATTATGACACGTTTTTGGTAAAAATGACATTTTGGGTTCTTTAAGGCCATTGCATATAAGGCTAGTTTTAAGTAGAAATAACATTTTTAACTCACTTTTGGCAAAAATATCAATTTTTGGCTTGGTTTTATGAAAATGTGCATTTTCGGCCCATTTATAAATAAATTCATCTTTTTGGCCAAGTTTTAATAATTTCACATTTTTAGTTCCTCTTATAAAAAATTTACATTTTTGGCACAACTTTTTTTGAAAATGACATTTAAGCCTACAAAAGTCCAAAATTTTACAAACTTAGGCCCAAGAATTCTTAAAAGCCCATTTATGAACTTTACACTTCTAGCCCTTTTTAAAATCACAAATATCATTAAGATTCATATTTATTAAAATACATTCTTTTTGGTCCCTTAAAAACCGTGAGTTACATAAAAATACCCCATTTTTTGTTATTTTGTCTTTTGGCCCTCTTATACAATTTTCTTAGTTTTAAGTAACTTTGAAGTATTTTAAAACCTTTTCTTTGCATAATAAGTTGTAATGAGTGTTATGTTCTACAAATATCATCACATTTTAGTATATCTTTAAGTTCATGGTGTTTATAACACATAATCACACATATATCATGAAAAGCACACAAAATCATGCATACACACATAGATCTACACAAAACAACTTGTAATCTCCCCTAAAACATAGTAAAAACCAAAAATAGGGGGTATGAACTCACATTGCCATGAAGATTTGGTTTTTGATGAAGAAGACGGAAAGATCTCAGCCCTTAGCAAGCTATCTTAAGTAGATCTCGAACCTACGGTGGATCTAGAGCATGGATCACGAGATGGTGTTGATGGAGAGTTCTTTATGCACCCTTAAAACTCACAAGATTTTGGAAGGATGAAGGGAGTTTTCTTGGAGTTCTAAAGAGTTTTTTGATGTAGTTAGAATGAAAGAGGATGAGGGTGGTGGTGTGAGTCTTGGGCTGAGAATAAAAGAAGAAGGAGGGAAGAGAAAGATGACAAGATTGTTGCATGGGAACATGAGATTTCCTTGATACATGGTGTATAGTTGCATGGATACCCATTAAATAATTATGAGGTGGCAAGTCCTAACTCTACTCCTTTGTTTATCCCCCCCCCCTTTTATATATATGGGCCGAGAATGAGAGGGAAGGAAAAGAGAAGGAAAAGTTTGGGCATTTATTGAACATTTTCGAGATTATAGGCCCAACATGAAGTTTCTCAGCCCATTGGGCCCTTCTTATGGGTTCACGGCCCAAAGGTGGTAAATGGATGGGGTTTACTGCCCAATTATAATGAAAAGATAGGTTTATGGCCCATTATGGTTCAATAGAGTGGTTCACGACCCATCCTGACCCATGATAACAAACTGAGTTGTTTTAGGCCCAACATGGCCCAAATGCTATGGTTTGACGAATGTGGGTCCAATTAGAGCCCAAATGGGGTTCTTTGGCCCAAAATCATCAAATGAAAGGTTTATTGGCCCATGGGTCCCAATAAGAGGATCCTGGTCTATACTAAGTTTGAACCGGGACATTAGGGTTTCAAACCAAAATTTGAGTATTTGAGATGTTTTAAATTAGGTTTTGGACTTCACTCAGGAGTTTTGGTTCAAATGGATGTTTTTGATTGAGCATAGTACGTGATATCCACTTAGATTACAAGTTTTACAAGAGTTGATGTTTACATGAAAACATAATTTCCTAGCTAAAAATGCTAGTTGTGACATTTATGTTATCTGTTTAGTTGTTGGTATTTTGGGGGAACTCACTAAGCTTCGTGCTTACAATTTTGGTTTATGGTTTCAGGTACTTCAGCGGATCTTGTTTGGGTGAAGGCGTGACCGTACACATCCTCACATTTTGGACTTATGATTTCTGGGAAACTCTGATAATGTGAACGTTTGAAAACTATGTTAAAAGACATTTTTGATTTTTAAATAATGTTTTGGAGACAACGATTTTTGTAAACACTTCTATAGAAAAAAGGTTGTTTTGAAATGTTTAAATTCTTATGAAATTCTATGGATGTTATAGTCCAAACCCTAAACTGTAGGTTTAAGAATCACGTGAGTACACAGTGCGTACCATATGTACGCCCGACATACTCAAAGGATGACCACACTTCCTTCTTGCAATATGCCCAACGTACTGGCCAACACCTATTTCCTTCCTAACTTCCAATGGTTATAACTTATGCATCCCAACTCTATTTTCGGTGTTCTCTATATGCTCGGAAAGGTAAAGAAAAGCCCTATAATCCCATCTAATCTCCTTTGATTTAATACTTACCGAACTAGAATCCTTAAGTTGAGGAAAATTCGGAAGCATTGCTTTCACCATTATACCCTTTGATTCCAAAATACAACCCAAGAGCTTCAATCACATAACCTAGATAATCCACATCCAACTGGGTCTAAAACCCAAGCCCGTTGAAGTCTGGGCCCTAATTTGGTCCATTAATTGTCCAATGATCAATAATTCCTGAAACAGGAAACTTTTCTTGAAACCGGATGTTACATCATGCAGCTGTGGAATCTGAAATGTCTGCATTTCTCTCCAACAACACTTGGGATCTTGTTCCAAAACCCTTGTTTTCTAATAATGTGTTTTGTCGATGGTTGTATTGTCACAACTTTGACATCTATGGCTGCTTGGGTCGCTACAAAGGTCACCTTGTTGCTCAAGGTTTTTCTTAACAGTCGGGTCTGGATTTTGATGACACGTTCAGTCCTATTGTCAAACCAGTTGCCATCCACATTGTTCTTAACATCTCCATTTCTTGCAAATTGGCTCATCCATCAGCTTGATGTCAAAATGCTTTCTTTCACAATGATTTAATTGAGACTGTTTACATGCATCAACCTCCTAGTTATGTTAACAATCAATTTCTAGATCATGTATGTCATTTACATAAAGCTCTTTATGGGCTAAAGCAAGCTCATGTGCTTGGTATCAGCATTTTGTTGTCTATTTATCCATGCTTGGATCTATCAGTAGCAAAACTGCTTGCTCTCTATTCACCTATCATCGTGATCCCGCTACTATCTACCTCCTTCTATATGTTGTCAACATCATTCTTACCGCCTCTTCTCCAACTCTTTTTTCCTAGGTCATCTATGAACTTTCCTTTGAGTTACCAATGTCTGATCTCGAACCCATTTCCTTATTTCTTTGTATTTCTGACACTCATAACTCTTTTCGACTCTTACTTTCTCAATCTTCCTTTGCTAAGGAGATTATTGATCGTGACAATATGACCACGTGCAGTCCCTATAGTAC